GGGAGCGGCCACTGCACTCCAGCCTGGGCGACAGAGTGAGACTCCAACTCAAAAAAAAATCGATTTAGGATTTGAGCCATGAAAGTTAGAGATCACCGAGCAGATCACACGTGGGCTTGGACACACACACAGATACACAAACATACACACACGCATACACATTCATTTTTGTATGCGCATCTGCTTCTGTTTTATAACCTATCAAGACACGGTGATGGTATGTGTGTGTGTGTCTGTATGGGGAAATGCCTGCAGGTTCTGAAAATAATGGCTGCCAGTGGGAAGCAGGGCCGGAAACAGTCTTGAGAGGGACTTGAACATGTCACTTCATGAACCTCCATGGGTTCTTCCTCAGTGAGTATCTGTCACCCTTGAACTACGGCAAGGTGACATGATTTATTTTTTTCTTTTGCTGTACTAGTTTAATTCGCTTTTACTAGAATCATATTCCTTTGTTTTCTAAATTGATCCATAATAAATGTACATATTTGGGGGATGCATGCGCTATTTGGACATATCCATACAACGTGCAGAGATGAAAGCAGGGTAACTGGGATGCTGTCACCTGCAACATTCATCTTCTCTCTATCCTAGGAACATTCTAATCATGCTCTTGTAGCTACTTTGAAATGAGTATAACTAGAATGTTCCTCACACGTATTCACAACTTCTGCGACATGTTGTTGACGCCAGTCGTAACTCAGCCACCCCAGAGCTGGGAATAAGCATTCGATGTCTTGTTTACGCAGAGGGACCCTGAGCCCTGTCTGAAGGGATGGAAACAGTGACATTGGCAAGAATGGTCGCTTCCGATCGATAGGCGAAATGCCGCCCTCGGAGAGATCCGTTTCCAGCCATCGCTGGGCCATGCGCAAGGCGGCTCTGACTTCTTCCAGACTGAAGACCCGCTGGGAGCACCTCCCCTCTCCGACCCCCTGCCTGAACCTCCTATTTCAGCAAGTCATGAGGAGCTGTCTTCTAATTGCTTCCGCTTCGTGGTGAAATCATTCAAACATTCCCTTCCCTTCCAAAGTGAGCACAAGAGCTAAATTTAAACGCAATAACTTAATGATGCATCTGCAATGCCAAGCAGCCAACAATCTATCAAAAAAAAAGATCAGCTCGTTCCAAATATAGGAAAGCTTCACACACGTGTGTAGCCCTCTACGCTCTGGCTCTCAACTCCAGAATGACCAAAAAAGGAGCACGCCCTGGAAGACTCTGCTTGTGATCCGCAGGAGAACAGATTGGCTTCCATGTCCCACGGGTCACGTGCAGGAAGCGCACTCAGAAAGAGTCACACGCAAATGGCCGCCCGTGTCCCTGGCTTGACACACACCCCTGAGAGTGTTCTTTGCTACTCCGTGAGTCTTTGGGGGCCTGCGGATACATGTCCCCGGGCGGTCAAGGACACCCATTGAGGAAGCTGGTGCCATTGTCTCAACGGCCTCCATTATCTGAGATACTTCCCAGGAACTCCCCACCTCCGAGGATGCTGCCTTTGCTCATCAAGTCATGACTGGTGTGACAGAGGGGGTGGGTACAAGGGCAGGTCTAGCGAACACGGGGCGCCAAGGCCCTGTCTGACCGCACCCTCACCACCAACATCGTCACCATGGCCTCCACCTCCACCACATCCACACTGTCACCTCCGCCATCCCTGCCCATCACTGACCCACCATGCCACCGCCATCAGCACCCCCGTCGTCACCACCCCAACCCTCCCAACCACCAGCAGCGTCGCCATCACCTCCACCTTCATCAACATCACCCCCACCCCACCACCATGTTTTCTAGGATCCGAGACTCAGGCTCCTTCGTTGCTATCAGAGGCCCCCAAAGGCCAAGCCCAGCGGGGTCACCAAAGTTTCACGTGGTTCAGCTTCTGCTTCATGATCAAAACGGAATAGAGCAGTCAGAGCAACCAGCGGGGGGCCAGCCATTTGCCCCCAAGAAACCTTTGGCAACAGGTGATGGCTCTTGTGCTGACCCTCAGACCATCTCGGGACCCCACATGTGAACGGCGCCCCATGTTCAGATCACGCCTCTGCACAGGAAGCCTCAAACCAAGCATTTCACAAACAAAGAAATCCACGAGCCAGCCCAGACATACCCCTGAACTCTGGTCCGGCCGTCTAACTGGTGACTCTCCTTTGTTTAGGCACCACTCGGGTGACTCCAACTCAAAACCGGGTCCCCCAGACTTCTGATGTCCTTTCAGCCCTTCTCATCTTAAACCCCCTCCCACCGTGCTGCCCATGCCAAAAATGTGAAGCTCATGTGTGTCTTCCCTTCTCTTCCCACTCAGCCCAGTCAACCACAATGGCTAGCAGGTCCTGCTGGCCAAATACATCAGGACCTTTCTCACGACCTTCGCTTCCACCAACACCCTGGTGCCAGGCACCAAGGCCACTCATCTGAACGGCATGGGGGTCTCGTCAGCCTCACACTCACCTCTACCTCCATTCAGAACTTGGGGCGAGCTTATTAAAAGGTAGATCTGATCATGACACTCTCCTACCGAAGACCTGTGGCTGCTGGCTGGCCAGTGCCCCTGAGCATTGCAGTCAGCATCCTTGCACAGTCCATGAGGTCCTGGGTGAGCTTTCCATGCCCCTCTCTCCCATCTGAGCTCAGACACCCGGATGTTCATGCATCTTGCTACTTCCTGCCTCAAGGTCTTTGCACAGTCATTCAACCATGGCACCACAGAGATATGGACCACGTTTGGTTTGCTCACTGCTCTGCCCTCCCTAACTAATAGACACACAGGGGCCCTTGATCAACATGTCTTGAATAAATCATTGAACAATGAAAAAACAGACACAGCCCCTGACACGGGGAATAAGGCTTCAGAAAAAAGAAAGGACAACTTACCCCAAAGTTTCTCTGCTGGGCTCTTAGTCTCAGGACACAAGGCAGGAAATTCCCTGATGGGTCTCACAAAGGTGAATCTGGTCGACTCTGACCTCTGTACCTGCCTAGGTGTGGTAGGCGCCTCAGGTGTGCTGGGCCATCTCTAGCCTGTAAGGAGACACATACACAATCTGCTGTCACACACACATGACTTTCGGTAGCTTTTCTGCCTCTCTCGCCTTCCTTGATGCCTAAGACACAGAGCAAGGCTGGCTTATGCTCACCGTCGCCCAACTCGCAGCACTGATGGCTGGACAGGGTCAGACTTGGGACTCAACTCACAGTCTTCCCGGCCTGAGACTTCTCTTTCCCTTCAGCCAGATTTCCTGGTGCAGAACACTGCAAAGCTTCACATACACACAAAGCTCCCATGAGCCTGAGTAGCTCCACAAGTTCCTGCATCTGCCAAGACACGCACTTAGAGCTAATTATTTAGGTTAGACAAATGACAGCAAGCAACAGAATTGAGGACACAAGTCAACATCCGGGCATGCGTTGCATCTATCCTTAATTATCAAGACATGATAAATGCCCAGCGGGTGACAGGAAGAGTTATTATAGGTCAAATTAATTAATAAGTGTCAATAGAAAACCAACACACACACTGCCACGTAGTCAGATCCTGGGGAATTCCCATCTTGCCACCGAATATTTAAAAACATAAATTCCCATAGATCAGGAGACCTTCAGATTGACATAATCACAATATCAGGTCTTTTACTTCTCTTATATGTTGATTAAAAAGAGTTTTTTAACCCCTTAGAATCACAGAATAAGATAGCAAATTGTATTACCTTAGACTTTATCAAAAAACCTCACAGGTATCCTGTGTCCAAATTAACCAGCATGGGTGAGAGAAAGAATACAAAGCAAGTCAGGCTTTAGCTTAGAATTTGGAACTGAAGTACACTCTTAGAGCCAAAATCCTATTTATTGCAATTTATCAAACATTTTCTGAGCATCTCCAAACTTCCTGACAGTCGTTAGACCCAAAGATCCATGAGATGGAGTCCTTTCAGGACTCACAGTCTGACACGGAAGACCAGAACATGCCTGGATCTCGGTTCGAGCTAGAGTTTAATCCGACTTAGAATGTTGAGCAGAGGACGTGTAGGGAAAAGACATCTAGGCAGGAGACTGAGGTGTATTTGCTGGAAACACCTAATGGCAGACCTCGGGACTTTGAAGGAGCAGGGCTGCTGTGTTGCACACAGAGAAATGCATGGTCAGGCTGTGGAGACCCCCCAGCTCCACATGGGTGATGCAGGTGGTTAGACGTCACTCCACTCTCAGGCTAGGCAGGAGACAGAGGGGACATTTTGTTAGAAAACTATAATCCCAGAGCAAAGACCTCCATGTACTCACATTAAGGGCTTCTACAACCAAATAACCCCCTTAGAAATCACCAAGAGGGCGCCCACCATCAACAAGCCCGCCAACATCCACTGACCTGTTAAGGCCATGCTCCCAAGACCAGGCCTTGAACCAGAGATTACTCACAGCATTTAAAAACCTCTAACATGGACGATGAAAAGCAAGGAACATAAAAATATAACTAAGAGACAGAGATTATGCAGGCAACCAAAATAAACTTGAAAAAAAGAAACAAATCTCACAAGTATCCTCAGAAAGCATCTAAAAATCAAGACAAGATGCTGAAGAGACCAATGACGGCCAAAAAGGACTCTTGTAAACTAAAAAGATAGTTGCTAAAATAAAAATGTAAATGGCATATTTGGATGAAAAAGTTACTCCCAAAAGTATAGAAAATATTAAAGAAAAACAATCCAGGAGGTTCAACTTTTACCAGTAAGATTTCCAGAAAGAGAAAATGTGGAGAAGGAAATTGTCAGTAAAATATGAGAACTTGTTCTGGATTAAAGGATCTTGTGGTGCTTCGCAAAACAGATGAGAAGAGACCGCTACCAGAGGATTGTAAGACCTGAGAAATGAATGATAAAGAAGCGATCCTAAATCCTTCTAGGAATAATTGAAAGGGAAAGGTAGAATTTTTAGAAGGAAAAGAATGGGTTAAAGTCTCAGATATCTCAGCAGCAACCTTGGAAGCCAGCAAAGTGTCTTTAAAATTCTGATTGAACACCGCTTCCAACTCAAGACTCTACCCAAACAAGCTATCAGTCAAGGGCGAGGGCAAAGAAGAGATATCACCATGCCTGCAAAGACTCACAGAATTTACTCCGGGGATTTCTTTTTGAGGGAATGGATGGAAAGTGTGCTACAGAAAAAGAAGGGGAAAAAAATGAATAAAAGGGAAAGCCACTGAATCTGAGAAACAATAAACCCCACCAAAACAGTGGAAGAGAAAAATTCCAAGGTGACAGCTGAGCCTTCAGTCTAGAGAGAGAGCAGCCACTTTGAAACAAGAAAACAAAGGGCTGTAAAAATATCCAGAGAAAAGAGAGACTCAGTGAGAGCTTTCACTATCTGGGGAAGAGTGTTAGTATGTGGATTGCAAATAGCACACTTGAAAATGAGGCAACTCATAACTCCAGGAAAACAAAAAAGCCATAAAAGGAAAGAAATGCCATCACAGTCACTAATTGGTTCTACAGCTAACAGTACATACAGAGTGACAATGGAAGCACTAATTATTGGCTTAGCTAGAGTAGCAACTTAACAGGTAGGTTGTGGGTGGGGATCTAAGATGGCTAAATCATCAACTCCCTCGGAGCTTCTCAACCTCGGCAGTCTGACATTTGGGACCAGCTGATTCTGCACGGCAAGGGCTGTCCTGTGCATTGCAGGACATCCAGCAGCACCCCTGCCAGGAGTCCCCAGTAGCACATGTCTCGCCCCTCAGCTGTGACAGACAACACAGCCCCTGGAAGACACAAGAACTACCTCTCTGCCACAAGAGGAAATGCTATTTCTGACTTATGAACACTGGCAAGTCAAGAATTAGCAGTCTAGGCATATTTTTAGTATTACTCAGGTAACACTAGAAGTCTTAAACATGGGCTCAAGGAACTGAGCCGTGGAAAGAAGATATGCCCAGAGTGCCGTGGGGTGGGCGAGCTGGGTATAACCACAGTCGTGGGGGTGACAGGGTTCACCAAGACAGCTGTGAATTAAAGCAGGTCGGTTCATTAAAAGGAAGACACATTGTGAAGTTCACAGGCAGGACGGCAGCGAGGGTGCCTGCCATCTGCAAAGAGGCAGGGACCAGAGGAGTGTTTTTACAAGAGGGATCCAGTGTGGGCCAGGGGGAATTGTCTTTGGGGGTAGTCTACAAAAGAAAATTTCCAGAGCTCTGTAAGTGACTGATGGATGATGTATTTTGTCTCTTTAAGGTAAGGTTAGTTAACAGCAACAGTTAACTAGCAACAAATGGTTCACTACTTTTTGTTCACTGCCAAGGTTTTATAGCAGACTAACCAGCTTTTCAACCTTTGCTGTAATCAGTAAGTTTCTCTGTAACATTTGTAAACCCTCATTCTGAGATTTCCTTCCGCAATTTGCCCAATTTACCCAGTTGATGCTAGCCTAATCAGTTCTCATATTCCTCTACAAAGAGATAGCAGTTCTTTCTTATACACCTTTACCCACTGCTTGTTTTTTAAATTGCATGCATGCACTTTCAAGTTACAAAGTGCTGCTGGAGCCCAAGAGAAAGTGTGCCTATGTCTGGTTTGGGAACTCCCTGACAACTCCATCTACCACTCTTGTCTCGAAGGGAACCTTATACCATCACATTAACTCACTGGAGATGCTCACATCTTTAAACGACATGAACCAAATAGCTATCACATAACAGTGTTTCAAGACATCCCAGCTCCCTGCAGAATCCACCTCGATGCCCAGCAACCCATCGGCGGTTGTGAAAATGTGGCGTATATACACCATGGAACAGTACTCAGCCATAAGAAGAGTGCAACAATATTCTCTGCAGCAACTTGGATGGAATTGGAGACCATCATCCATTAGCAAAGTCAGCCCGGAATGGAAAATCAAATACCACATTCTTTCACTGATGGGGGGGAGCTGAACCAGGGGTCTGCAGAGGCTCAGAGAATGGGGTGAGGGACAGGGGAGACTCAGAAGAGGGAGGGGGTGGGAAGGAGAGATGGAAAGTGTCACCTGTGGGTACAGTGTGCACAGGTGAGCTTCTTCATTGTAGAGTGGCCATAACCAAAACCCATGTAACCCCTGAAGTTATTGGAATAAAAAATAAAAATATATATATAATTATAGACACACACACACAAACACACACATCCCTTCCTTAAGTCCTCTCCTATCATTGTCGGTCCACCCCTAAGTGTGGGAGAGACTGCAGTGACCCAGGAAGGGGCCAAGAGGTCCCTTACCCCACTCGGTGGAGCCAGAGGTTGAGGACCTGGGGCAGAGACCCTGTAAGATCGCTGGCCGAGGGACTCCATCCTGGCGTCTGCCTCCCTGCTGAGCACACCCCGCGTGGGCACTCCGCCAGCGCCAGCCTGTTCTGCTCCTTTAAGGAACCGTGTATGCTCAGAAAAATAGTTAAGAATGACATTTAAAAATAAGCTGACAGGAAGTCACGATATCTGCAAGTTATGTAAATTTTTTCTGAGCGCCATAAAAGAGAAGAATTTTAGGTGGGACAGTAATTCTCAGCTTCTCAGCACATGTGGGGAGTCTGGTGCTCTCTGCGCAGAATAAGTATCTCCCCCAAGGCCCCATCTTCCCAGTCTCCAGGGCACCCTCTGGCCTCCACCCCCATCCCCATCTTCCTGGGCTCCAGGGCATTCTCTAGTCTCTACCATCTCCTCACCCTCATCTTCCCAGGCTCCAGGCACCCTCTGGTCTCCAGCCTTCTCTCCCCTGCACCTGCCCTTCCTTAAAGAGGCTCTGAGCGCTCACCAGGTTGCCCGCAGCACTTGTTGATAATCATAAGGCCTGAGAAGCGACCCTGAATGGTCGGCTATGAGCATGATGATGATTAATTCAAAAGTGGTTCAGCCAGATAATGCCTTTGTGGGGCTGCGTATCACCGACCCTAATGATTCCGGAGCAAAGTGGAACACAGAGCTCTAATACCGCTTTATACGGAGTTTTAATTAACAGAGCCGTTTAGGCAGGGAGGGAAACAGAAACAATGATTAATTGATGTGCCATTCACTGCTGCCGTCAAGTGCCAGGCACCATAAAACACCGGCCACCTGTTCCACCCCATAAACGGCTTCATCACGGAGCACAGAATAGACTCCCCTGCTGCCAGGGAAGATCCACTTCTCGCTATTTCATGTTGGGCACGGACTCGGTTCCCTCCGTCTATTGACCACAAGTTTCTCACTACGTACAAGAAATCAAAAAGAAATCCCTGGGCTTAAGCCTGAGTTTGCCCCCTCCCGTCTTCACGGATATTATTTCAACTCATCTTGGGCTTATAAGAAACAAAGATGCTACAATTGTATCCACTGGCTGATTATATTAATCATGTAAAGCCTTCAGGATGTTAAACCTCACCTCACCATTGAGGCTTAAAGAATTAGAAATTCTGCACAAAGATCAAATACAGTAAAAACATCCCCCCCCCCGAGACAGCAGAACTTTAAACACACACTGTTCTCAAAGCCAGTTGTGTGATGCTCAAACCAGCACAACCAAACTGTCTCCACTGGAACAGCGATTCTCAAAGGAGCAGAGTTGACCCGATGGATGACAGGACGGCCACCCCTCCAGGCGACACCCTGCTGTGGACAACCTGCCCACAACTCTCCCAGTGAGCTGGCCCTTGAGACAAAAAGAGAGGTCTAGGCTGACGCTGGCCTGGAGACAGACCTGGACCTAAATGCCCCAGGGGAGCAGCTGTGATTAGAGCCATGGTTCAGACCCAGAGGTTCGGAAACCAGCCCCGAGACTGGCAGACTCCTGTCCCCACCACCTTGTCCAGGAGAGCAGTTCCCAGTCTCCAGCCGGAAGCCCACAGGGAGGTGGTCTTCCTGCGTCTAATGTCAATCTTATTAGCCCCCCCCCTCCGCCCCCGGGCTCCCCCGGGCTCCCCCGGGCTCCCCCGGCCCCAAGAGCGGTTACTCACGGGATCCTGGAGGTCGGCGTTCCTGAGGACCAGGTGGATGCGCCTGGGTGGCCCAGCCAACACTGGCCTCCCCCGCGGCTGCCAGCCTTGCCAGCCTCCTCTGTGCTCAGCCTCAAGCTGCAAGCTGTTTACTTATTCATGGGCTGCCCGAGCCGGCCAGGAACTGCTTTGTGTCAGCTGAATAGGCTGGTAATTCAATCTGCAAATGGGAGCCTGGGGCGCAGGGAGCCAGCCCGCCCGTCACGGTGACTCGCAGATGGAAAGAGCGCGGCACCCAGACCACCCGGAAAACACGCGATACTGCTGTTGCTCCCTCATGACCGTCTCCCCTGAATCTCCCCACCCCATACACCTCCCTCGAGGTGCCGGGCTTGGAGAGAATCACAGCGGGGACTCCGTCGGGGGTGGAGATGCCACCTGTTCTGTGGACAGAGGCGGGCACCTCTGGGTAGAGAAGCTGAAAACAAGGCAAAACATCACGAGAAAAACTCAGGGATGAGGGAGCCCGAGAGACCCAGAGGCCATCGGGCCTGGCCTGGCGCTGTCTGTGCACCATACAGAGCTCAGGAAAGCGCTTCGTGGGAGCAAACAGCCCAGAAGGGCCAGGGGTCACCCTGAAGTCTCCCTCCGGGTGACAATGTGTGCTGCCTGGGACAGCAGATCACGGCATCCAGGCAGGACCGACCAGCCCCTCACAAGCTGGCGCTCTCCACGGGGGCACAGGCCATTTTCCGTTGTCAGTAACCATGGGGTCTCCAGCACCCGGGGCTCCTGGCACTAACTAGAATGTCTCAGCCGGGCTCAGTGGCTCAGCCTGTAATCCTGCACCTTTGGGAGGCTGAGGTGAGTGGATGGTCTGAGCCCGCGGGTTCAAGACCCACCTGGGCAACTTGGCGAGACCTCATCTCTACAATAAATCAAAAATGAGC